TCGCAGCGAGCACTGATGACCACACATCCACACTATTCCAAACATCTTCACTGGCGCGAAATAAAAAAGAATAATTTTCTGTTGAACTTTGGTCCGTGATTTTCTCCAAGAAAATTTAAAGAAATGAGAGGTGAAGATACCTCGAACTCCTAAGAAAATTAAGTTTGCAAATTACTGAGAAAGTTGCGAAGGTATGCTGGATTCACCAGACATTGGCATTGTTTCATAAAATCTAGTGGTTGATTTCGTAAGAAATACCCCCACTCTACCTGCATTTCTTCAACCCATCGGTCAAGAAAAGTTGCATGAGTAATACACATAACTCGATTTCTGGTTTCAGTTCTCGATATAAGTCATTTCGGGGTGTTAGAATGTAAGTAATCAATGAAATTTCACCGTACATCGACGTAAATAATTCGTGAACACTCTTCTTTTTATTGTTTCCTTCTTTCGTGGAAATGAACTCATTTTTATAAAAATCGGCTCTCTCGCATATATTTACAACGCTTTCCGCGACATCCAGCCCCTAGCTTTTCTCCATACTAGACGTGTTCCGTCCCCAGTTCTCGTCCCGTTAAGTTATTTAAACGGATGATTCCCTTGCGTCCTCCCCGGTCAGTAACATCAGTTGATGCCCTGAGCCACCTGGATATATTTTTTTAGAAAAAAAGGTTATTTCAAAAATTAAAAATTTGACACGAAATTACGCGAAAACTACTTATTTTCGAAATATTGTACATGCTCTTATTGCAAGATGTCTTTAACGAACAGATTACATTAGAGAAAAAAAACTACATCTTCAATATTGTAGTTGTAGGAAGTGCAGTACAGTGCCCCGCGGGTCAACAGAAAATTTCGTACGTTGCAAGAAAATCAGAGATTTTGGACACTGTGGCTTTGAACAACATAAATCATCCTCCATAGAGGCCAGATCTTGCTCCCAGTGACTTCTTTCTGTTTCAAAACATGAAAAAATTATGTGTGGGCGACGATTTCCTGATGCAGCAGTTAAGGAAGCTGTAATGGAGTATCTGCACAGTTAAATGTTACATCTTTCCTGAAAGTTATTCAATCTCTGGAGGAAAAATAGACCAAATGTGTTGGAGTCAATGGGAACTGCATTGAAAAATAATGAGGTGATTTTCAATATAAAATTTCATATTCATATTCATGGTCAGGTTTTTTACTTATTGAACACCCTGTGTATTTTCGATAATTGCAAAAAGTTATTTTATATCTACAAATTTGAAGATAGAGATTTTTACTTGCAACAAAATCTATTCTAAAAATTAGCTCTTCAATAAAGGTCATGTAGAGCTCTTTGAAAAAAAAAAAAAACACGTTTTTTGCGTAATTTGTGCTTGAAATTAATGCAATTCATAAAAAAATAAAAAAATAAAAATTAACTTTTTCTCAAAAACTAATCCCCGCAGATAAAACAAGGACACTTAAAAGAATGGCACTGGTTTCTTTTTCAAAGAATACTCCGAATTTTTTAAAATTGAAAAAGTTTGAAATAATTCGATAAAAGTATGTTATTGTACCACCACTAGGTTAAACATGTACATTATCTACCTCTCTATGAAAATAATTAGAAAACTTATGACTTAAACAGTAAAAATGATACTTTCCCAAATTTATTTATTTAATGTCAAAAAAGTTAAAAAGTATGTGAAGTATGATGGGAGAAGTGTATTCTGTGCACTTTTTTATTTCTGGATCCCTACCCTTACCCATATACAAGTTGAATTATGAATAATTCTGTTCTAATTCCTTGTCAAGTAGCATTTTTGACAAGTCGATAAAATGTTCATTCCCATCTAACAAAACTATTTGCAAAGGCAAATCAGATGCAGGTTTTGCTTCTTCCCCCCATCGAGCCCTTTGTGAAGGCCTGCCACAAGAACATGGAGAACAATAATTTGAATAACTATATTTCCCACTGAACTCTAGAAAACAAGCACAGATAGTAAAGTTACCTTAATGTCCAAATGCCAAATAAGGCACCACCTCAGCATTTGCCAAAAAGACAAGGAAACTGGATGAAAAACCTGATCATGATGGGGGTCAATGACCCAGAAGCTGAGGTAGAGTAAATGTTACAGACTTATTTAATGTTTTAGAATTATGGAGGTCTTTAAGAATTGAAATTCTGATTTTTCTTGCCACTTAAACTGTTCAACAGCAAATTCATGACCTGAGAATTTTATGTTTAGTAATTAAACTGAGCACAAAAATAATTTTAAAATTTGCCTGTTACTTCTTATTGCCATGCAAGGGCTCATTATTTCCCTGAGCTTTTTATGAGCGGTTTTGGAGATTTTGCATCTCTAAAAAGGTACTTCATGCCAACAAGTCAGTAAGCAGGGAATCACTAAGTCAGTTTATCTACTGACTCACAAGGTGCCATACATTTACACTTTGAAAATGAGTTGATGTGGATGTGTAATTTGTTCCTGTTATTTCCAGCAATATTTAAGCATTGGTAATTGCTGAAATTGTTGTCATTATGTGCAAAAGTTGGTCATATCTGTAGACAGTTATTAACAGTGTACTGTTTGTGTAAGCAGTCCGAAGATTTTCTATTGCATTACCAGCCAACAAAAATTCAAACTTTAGATAAAACTTCAAAATATAGAACCAAATATTTCCCATACTAAGAGATCAAAACAAGAGTGTAAATGCCACATATAGTTTGCAAACTTTGCTATGATGGCCTTCTTGATTGGTTGAATTACACATCTATGATGCCATATGTCATCTATATGATTAAGTGTAAGTAAACAAATCATTCAGGACATTCCATTAATTCAGGACTTGCTAAACAAGAAAAACATAATTCCCTATTCTAACTTACCATGATTCACATAAATGGCTCACAATGATCAACGACCCATCCCTACTCCTTTTATCATTTTGTATAGACTCGGAAAACATAGCTTGTGATTCTCAACCCTCCAGAAATACTGGAATTTACACCAAATGTTACAACATCTAAACAACACAAGATTAGGAAGAATGTACTAAATGGTCTAGGGAGAGATGTTAGAGCTGTAGCCTCCAGGTTCCAATAGTGAAACTTTCTCACAGAACATATGAAAGTATCATTCTTCATTACAGTTAGAAGCAGTTTGAGAAATATTTCTCAATGAATATACGTATTTGGATTTACAATTGTATAACTGGCTTGTTAGAGGTGAAGAATTTGCAACACATATCTAAGGATTAAAGATTTTCATTGCCTTATTGAAATAAAACCTCAAAGCTGTGTTACTCCATAACAACGTAACATCTTTGATTTGCATTTGTTTTGCAGCTTATGTAAAATTAATAATACATAAAACTAAAACCTCATTTAATTGAATTATAACCAAAACAAAAGATAAAAATTAGGTGACTTGCAGCAATTGCTGTATTAACCCTATTCTCGGCAACCAATTTTGACGACACAACCGGGCAGGCGGGGTCTAGCAGACCCAGGAGTGTCTACGTTGGAATTATACTTACAGGTATACTTTGTGGACATGGATAACAAAACAACACACCAACAATTAATGATTTTTTAATTTAACACAACCTTCCAAAATATTTAAAAAAATTTTAAATATATGTGTGTGTGTGTGTGTGTGTATATATATATATACTTTTTTTAATTTACCTATATTACAGATCTTTCACACTGAGTTTACCTGGCTATGTTCATTACAGACAAATTTGTTTGTTTCCTACTTTTTTTTCCCCCTTCAATTTTAGGAGATGTAGAAGTTACTTCTTCCATGATAATGTATGTGACCGACATGCAACACTTGTTATTCAATCGTACTTGATTGTCTTCTTACAATTAGTAGACGAATCCTATGCAATATCAACAATAAATAATAGTCTGATTTCATGTTTTCTAATCATAACTTCCTACCAGGGTTGAAATTTCTCCAAATCACGTGTGTGGTTAAAACAAACACATCCAGTGTGTTCATAAAAATGTAAATGGCTAATGATTGCTACATCTTTAGCATAATTATGTATGTACGAGTTGCTCCAAAGCATCGACTCCACATTTAGCATTGTTATGATATATAATTACAAAATTACTTTATACATAATTTGAATTTGGTTCAACCCTTGCACATGAAGCAGTTGTTGATCAAGCAAATTAGAAAATGCAATATTACATGTGGATTTAAAGACCTGGGTCCAAAGGACCCCACTTGCCCAGTTGCGGCTGAAAAAAGAAAGATTTTTTAATCTACTATCCAGTATTGCTTTTGTAAAATGGTTGTGGGAACATTTGAAAAACACCATTGCAAGCAAAGACACAAACAACTATCCTAAAACCTTCGATAGTTTTTATGTAAAATATTGAAAACTTTGCTTCTGGATCCAATGGACCCTAGTTGCCTCGATGAAGGTTAACTGAAATCTAACGTTACACTAAAAGCATTTGTTTCATCTGTGAATAAGAGTCTTAAATTACACTTTTTATATTCATTTTAAATTTTTTTGTAAAATATGGTGGAATGTGAGCAAATTTGGCCAACATTTTAATCAACAAATTTCAACTCACACAAAACATGATGAAGGAAAGTTAAGTTTCAGTATGCTTGCAGACTACTGCTAGTTGGTCGCCAGAGATGCTCCAAAACTAGAATTCAATTATAAGATGAAACCAAAACTGAAGCACAGGTACTCAAGGAAATGATCATTCATTATTACAGAACCTATTAGAAATGGTATTTTTTGTGAACATTAACATTGCAATTTCTATTGAAATAAGAGCCAAAATGTCACTTTTGCTGTTAAATTTGTAGTCATCAATGTCCGCTGTAAAAGTCATGATAGGTTCATATACATTTCAAACTAAAGGTGAAATTAATTGCTGTGTTATCAACCTATAGATTGGTTCACATGACACATTTCATCAGGAAATATTTTTACAGAATTATTTAAGACAGTAAAGCTTCAGGACACAAGCAAATCAACATTTAAACCTTTACACTCACCTGAAACATTATTAGCATACACTTTATATCTGAATTCTGCTGTGTGTGTTCCACTACCATCAAATATTAAATCATACTTGGGTGCAGTACCCATTCGAGTCATCATTTCCTGAAGAATGGAAACAGGTGTTTTGGATCCCATATCTTCTTCTGAAATATAAGAAAATATACACTACATGCCACGCGTTTTATTCAATTTATTGTTTTCGACATGCATTCATTTTCAGAACTTTTCTTGTCGGTCAAAATAAGAAAAATACACGGCCCCATCATTTATAAATAATGATGAGCTATAACAATTGATAGGGCAATCACTAGGAGAGACATATTTAATTCCTCAAGTTTTAGAATTCGTGAATACGAGAACTCTATAGAGCTACAATGGTCAAATTCAACGGGCAATCTCTAGGCTGTTTCGTTATACAGTTTACGCCTCTAAACTAATTGCACAAACCACTGAGAACAAGAAATTTCAGTTACACCTTTAACGTATTTAACTTGTAAAATAATTCTTTAGTTAATTTAACACACTTGTTAAATTAAAAAACTGATCTACGATAGTATCATAGCATGAAGAAAGTTTGCTAACACATGAATTGTTTTTGCAACCTTCACTTCAATGTACAAACGGAAACAGCTGTCAATAACCAATTTGATCAAAAATCGTGATTTTCGCAATAAAAGAACCTCCACGCACAATCACTACAAAACCTGTACATTCATCATACCACATTTCGAAGTCAATGATCAAAATGATCAGTGTTCGCCAGTACTAACCTTCAAATGTCTTCACGCCGGTCCACGCCGGACCGCCCAAATTCGTTATCCTACACCAAGACAACGTAGGCAACTACAACAGTTGTAACAACACTACCACCACACATTACCACACTCTTTCCCGATAAAATTCTTAAGGAGTGAGAGTGAATGAATAACTCGTGATTCCAGGCGCGTCAAATACTTTGAACATTGACTCCGTGCGAGTAGGGCATAACCGGAAGGTGTAGGGGAGGTATCAATCTCCATCTGCTGAAACTTGAGATCCGGCGCCGACCTACATCGGAGGCTTACCGTGCCGCTCCCCCGCCCCCCTCCCCAGCCGGGGTAAGCTCTACGCTCCCGACAGATCCCCGTAGATCTAAACTTCACATTTCTTCACGCTGGCTCAACAAATTTAGGAAACCTGTATTTACAGGGTAATGAACGCAATTACAACAGATGTATCATCACCAATACAGCACAACACTAATATCACTCTTTCGCGGTCCACCTCTCGGATGAGTGTATTTCGTGATTCTGTAAGCGTCAACTACTTTTGACAGTTGTTCCATGAGTGTAGTGTGTGGCACGAAGATGACAATCTTCTCATTCTCTGGAATGTGAGATCCAGTGCCGACGTACACTTCAGGTTGCGAATTTTCTCCTTCCAGATACAAACGTGGACAAATAAGCAAAATGGTATTGATTAGAAAAATCCCTTTATTTTCTCAAAGTATTAGAACTAAACTACAGAACTGAAGAATCTACAAGCTTATTATAACTTGATGCAATCCCCCTTTAGCATGAATTAAAGCATTAATTCGTCTGGGCTTGCCTTTTACTATGTAAATTTTGCACTGTCCACACACTGAAATAAACCCCACAAATCATAACTTTAGTGAAAAACTTCACTAGTTTCACCACACCTTCTTTCTTGAAGGTTTCCCTGGGTCGTCTTCTAACATATTGGCGCTGTCATCCACAGCACAGATGATGGTTTCATAAATGAATACAACCTGAAGCAAATTTAGTAAAAAATATTCTTTATCTGCACATTAAAACAGTAGACATATTTCCTTATTTCCATCACAAAAGTTCTAAAATTGGGAAAGAATAAAATTTTATTTATGAATTATATAAAATGACCTACATACCTTCTACCACTGCCGTGTTGTCCATCCTTGGTGCAACTTCGCCCATTGAAATTGTTTCTTGATCATAGAAGAAATAAATTTTTATTTATTTCAGGATTCTCGAGCATTTAAGCCACTTACAAATAGCATCCTTTGTATAGTTTTTGAGGAAATTTGTACTCATTCTCTTGAACAACACTTTGGGGTTGAGATAATGTTAAATGTCTATTTATAGATGCCTTTCTTAACAAAAGTCAGACCAAATCATTGACTGTAACCCTCTTTTGTTCGTTTTTCTCTTCCTCTGGGGTTTGGTCTGCTTTTATTCCTGTAACTTTTCGCAAATCTTTTGACATATGCCACTAACTCCTGCAATATGACTAATTTTGTTCGTGGTATTATTACTGGATAGTAGTAACACTTCAATTCTGGCACATTTTCGTGGAGAAACACCTTTTCTACCTTGCCCATAGCTTCCAGCATGGCCTTGCCCATTCTTGGGCTTTCATGGTCTCTTGTACTACGTCATTGCAGTGGATATGTGCGTTATAAAACACATACATTAGCTTAAATGAACATTTCAATTGAGGGCTGTATTTTGGAATGTGCACACAACACATTACAGAAATACAACAATTTTTCCCCCATCCAACTACTTTGAATATACCCTTAGCCATAATTTAGAGGAACATCTTTGTCAAGTTTAGCATATACATATGTTTGAATAGAAATAATAATTATACAATGAGTCATAGTGTCCCATAAAAAAAAAAGTGCTCCAACGGCACATACTCTCTGCATTATTTGAAAGTACTCTGTAATATTATAGTATTAAATGAACCTGAAAAAATGTATCCAATCAGTAGAGATTTTTTCTTCAGCTCTCTCATTTCCGTTACACTCTTTTAATTTTCGAAAATTGCAAATTTATAAATAATGCGAGAAAGTATGTGATATTGCAGCACCATTAGTTTTACAGAACAAATATTGTTTGGCACCACTATCTGAGCAAAAAATCAATTTTTAGTGTTTTCCCATCCCTACGCAAAAACCAGGACTGTACAATGGAGAGAAATATATTATAAGGGGCCCACACAAAGACTGCTCTGGGGACCCTGCAAGGGTCAATCTGGCTCCGATAGCTAGTGTCAAAAATCCATCACCATTGGAATTCAAACTCTACTGCAGAGAACTCTACTCAGAGGCACTGCACAGAAAACACTTTGCCTTGATACAACTTCTGAATTGTTCTGATATTAATCAAGAGTGTCATTAAACCTGCCAGGTCTCTGTAATGCTTTTCAAGATGTAATGTGTTAGCCTACATACTGATCTGACTCATTCAACTATTTGTGACTCCATTGCATAAATCATCACTATCTGAATTTTCACCAAAAATTATAATTATGTTTATACTACATAAAAAAGCACATGCGATATCAGTAAATTACACATAAGTATCTATTAACGTACAATTTGATATGTAACATGTGAAGTAGATATTAACATAGTCATCTGGTCTCAAATAAATTAGTCAACTACTTACCCATTTCTTGTTTCTTACTAACGGAACTCACAAAAGTTAGTATTTTTTCCAATCGAGATTCCTTTCCCTCTATCAATTCGTTTTTAGGCATTGGGGTAACATTTGTAGCACACGTATCATGATGTTTATCAATCGCAATCTTCTCAATTTCAGTTTGGTATTGAGCCTCTCTGTAAATAAAACATTACACATCATTTAATATGAAAATGAAGTATTCATTTATTATAAATTAATCAGCAAATGTTAACATCCAAGCTCCAGCTAGTTGTTTATATACAAACTTTTCTGTCAAAAAACAAACACTTATTTAAATGAGAGTGGGGAATCTGCCCTTCTCTCAATTCTCACAATACGAGTGGAGAGAGGATATGAAAGGAAAGAGCGTGTATGGTTGCTGTTGCAAGGAGTGCTGCTCCATCATTTGCAATGAAGCAATCAGAGAAACCATAGTTCAGAGCGATCCCAGTAGGGGGTCAGAAACAAGCAAATGCTTAACATCCTACACACACATTGAGCACCAAAGAAGAATCAAACTCACAATCTAAAAGTCATCAGCACTCTCAATTTTCATGTTGCTGTAAATATCACAGCTATCAGAGCTGAACCAGTGCGCTCACTTGAGAAATAAAATTTTCATAAGAAAATAAATTTCCCTTCTTAATGTTTTGATGTACTTAATTGAATATTAATATACTAATTGTTTTGGAGTTTGTTAATAATGATCAGAAAAAATAAATATATTTGCCTTAACATTCATCCTTAGTATCTTTTCCCTCTTCCTTCTTGTAATGACACATATCACTTATCTATGATATATCTATTCTTTAGAAAGAGATATATACAAATATACATGGAAAGCTTGAGGACTATGATCACCCATTGATTATATTTTAGTAAATAATGAAATGAATAGTCTAGTAAAAGATGATAAAGTTTTCAGAGGCTCAGAAATTGGCTCAAATCTCTTTCTAGTCATTGCAGAAGTTAGATTGCAAACAAAATGGAAGAAAAATAAACCAAAGCATAAAAATAATCAAGAAGTCTATAAAGTCTACTTCCTACACGAAGAGAGTATAAAAGTCCTTCAACCAACGAGATTTCAAAATTATCTAACAAATACAAAACAAAACTCAAAGTAAGTGAAGAATGAGAAAGTTTAAAATTCATTATTGGGAATAATGGAAATGAGATGCTTGTAAACAAAAAAAAATTCCAGAAATGGAAAGGTCTGTGAATATGGAATGAAGAAATAGAAAAAACTATTGTATAGAATACAAAAGTAAAAGGAACTATGCAAAAGATCTTACGAGAACAGTCCATCAACAAGCCTGGAAAAAACATGCAGGTGAGATTGAAAATGATGCCCATGGTAGACAATTAGTAGCATACAAAATACTAAAAAAGCATAATTCATAAGAAAGAGGCACAGTTGAGCTGAATAACATTGCAGATGAAACAGAGAAAGAGCACTATGAAAAACTGTAGTGTAATCCAAACACCATGGTTGAAGAAAATTACATTTCTGAATAGACCCAATAACACTACCAGAATTGAAGCAAGTGTTTAAAGAGACAAATGATTGGAAAGCTTTTGGGCCTGATGAACTAAACTCAGATCTCCTGAAATATTGTGGTTTCCTTTTTGAATTGTGATTTCTACATTTAGTAAATTGTTGGAGAAAATTTGAAAATGTTCATGGCAAATTGCCGAAATAATTACTCTCTTCAAAAAAGATGAAAAGAACAACTGTGAAAATTGTCATGGGATAAGCCAACTTAACAGTGCTTCTAAAATATATTCTAGAATAATAAACAACAGGCTAAAGGGATAATATAAGTGATTTTAGAAGAACAAGCAGGTTTTAAAAAGGGCTATTCTTGCCTTGAGAATATCTTTTCCCTAAAGCAGATCACAAAAATCAAAGAGAGCAGCTTGTAAGGTAGTGCCAGTGTGCCATGGTACCATCAACAAAAAGGAAGGAAAATAAAATTTTCATGACAAATATGTGCATAAAATATCATTTAATTTTTTTATAGTATTTAATTTGAATGAAAGCTTCGTCCTTCAATGCTCTATCAATATTCTCTTCAAATGCACTGCATAACTCTGAGCCACCTATAGAATGGCACCGTCTGTGCCCATTTAACTGTGCATGAAGAACGCTGTGTAGGTTTATATGCATCTTTTATGGACCAGACGGTGCCAGATTCCTCCTCGCTCAAAAGTTCACGTTCTGATGACCTGAAGAAAGCTAACGCGCATATTAATTACATTAAAAATGAGATCAGTAGACTGGAGCAGGTCGTTCGATACTCCGATGGGTGGACTCACGTAACTAGGAAAAATAGAAAGCCACACATTTCCAGCCACCCACGAACCTCTCAGGCACCACTCTGTGCCCTTACATTCAACAGGTTCTCGATCCTTTCTGACCTTGTCTCCTTTATACCTCTTACCACCAAACCTACCTTACCATAACAACCAGTAAACAATAGGCGCACATTTACTAAAAGTCTGCCCTCAAAATCTCAACAAAAACACAGTTCAGCGGGCAAGATTAAAACAATAAATGGCACTCTCTCTCACGTAAAATTTGGATTCTAGCTGACAGCCATGGTAAGAACCTTTCCTCCAATGTGAGAGAGAAACTCCCATCAAAGTTCTCAATTACAGGTATTTTTAAACCTAATGCCACGATGGCTC